AGAGAGAGAGAGAGAGAGAGAGAGAGAGAGAGAGAGAGAGAGAGAGAGAGAGAGAGAGAGAGAGAGCAAAAGAAAGCCTGCATCAGTCATATTGCTGTTGTCTGAAGCAAGGTCCACATCCAGCAAATGCTCCCGGCACAGAAGACAGACAGAAGGACAGAAGTCCAAAGAAAAGAGGACAAGCATAGTATTACATCCGATTGGAAGGCAAACCAATCAAATCCGATGCAAACCACAACCCCATCTGAAAAAATCCAATCCGAAAAGTAGCCTTTGACATAAGGCCATGGTTGTGCTTCGTGAATAACAACGGAGAGTATTACAGACAGAAAACGAAAACAACGTAGTAATGCAAGCAAAGACAAAACTATAGAATAAAAATTAAAATCAAGAAAAAAGAACAGGAGGCCAAATGGCCAGCCGTACCATGTTGAGCACAATCACTCTTGAAATCGACTGAAGATTTTGACTGCCACTGTTGCCGAGCAGCCGTCGATGCCTGGCAAAGAACACTGCAAGTGCTCCAACCTGGGAGACAATAAACCAGTAAAACAGCAGCAAGGACAAAATAGCATTTAGGGAAAGAAGAAAAGAAGGCAAAAAAAAAAAAGAAAAAAAAAAGGGCAAGTGTAATGACCCGTCAAAACACAGACTGAGAACACTGCTGATTTCTGAAGTTCTGCCGATGGAATGGATGCCTTGCTGAGATTCCCGCATTCTGCTGTGTTTCTAAGTCTGTCTGTGTGTGCGTGCTTGTGACCTGCATGCCTGCCTGAGTGCTTGTTGGTATGAGTGTGTGTGGGACCCGCAAGGGTACTTGCTTGTTTGGTAGGCCCGTAGGGCCGGTACTTACCTGTGGCCGTGGCATTGAGGGTTGTAGCAGGGAAAACACTCAAGTGGCGAAGCTAGCGGCCCTGAGGCCCTTGGGATAGCGGAAAAACACTCAAGTAGGCCGGTAGGCCGATACTGCACCCCACTACAGTTGGCGTGAGGGGGTACTGGAGGCCGAGCAGAAAAAGACAAAGTTGGCATTTTTAGAGTCCAGTAGCGGTAGGGTACGTCTAGGCCGGTACCAGTCCAACCAGTCTGAGTCTAGAGCCTGAACGGGTAATATCAGGGTCTGCAATGATGTTTCCCTCCAAAACGGAGGAAGTACCGGTTGCTTGGGAGGCCGAGCGGCCTGGAAGTCACTGCCCAAGAGGCAAGCAGGCCGCTATATCTAGAGGCGGAGGCAAGAGCTCCGCCTCATTCTTCAGTGTGCGAGTTGGGCGTCACGCTGCTGGAGCGCTAGGTGGTGTAGCGCTGGGCACTACAGCGCTGCTGGGAGGAAGAAGCCGGGAGCTTCCACCTTGGCTATGGTGGAGCTCTACCGGTAGGAGGAGGAGGGGAGAAGGGGACCAAGGAGGAGAGTGGCGAGGTACTTACTGGCTATGGTAGACACCATCTTCATCTCCTTGCTAGGCGCTGCATCAGGAAGGCCCCAGTGGGGGTAGTGCCGCATCAAGGAAGCTCGGACTGAGTCAGGCATGGCGGTTGAGTGGGCAGCGGCATAGCTGCTCGGTGATGACCTTGAAGTGGGCAGCGGTATAGCTGTTTGGGGGTTGTCTTTGGTACCAGAGGCTGAAGCCTCAGTTGTCCGCCATAGCCTCGGCCTGTATGTGGAGGAAGAAGAAGGGCTGCCATGGCTATGGTGGACCTCATCTTGTGCCTGCAGTAGACGTGGGATTCGGACATTGATTCTGGTTCAGCTGTTCAACATTATTATTGTTTATTTATTGTTTGAATAAGAGAGGAGGAGATAAAGAGGAGGAGGTTGTTGAGCGAAGAAGAAGAGCTTTGTCTTTGGTCCATGCTGGAGTACATCATCTCTTTCTTCTTTCTTACTTCTTCTTCTTCTTCTTTCCCTCTCTCTCCTCTCAAGTTCTTTCATTTCTTTTGCAATTGGACGGCATTGGGCTCAAGTTCATTCATTTCTTTTCGCAATTGGACAACATTGTACTTTCTGATGATTGTGGACTTCAAAATTGGCCAGGATCGTAACACAAGGAAAAAACAGCATTTTTCAAACGACTTATTCAAAAGACATAAATCTTTTCCTTTCTCAAACGAAAATTTGGAAAAATCATCGATATGTTCACACCATACTTACAGGGGCATGCTAATCAGGTACAAACTTTACGGTTTGCTAGGTTGAAACTTAAAACTCTTTGTGTGCCAGCTATGGAAGTATTTCCCGTCAGGTGCGTAACGTACGAACTGACTACGCGTCAGGTACGAACCAATTGATCTGAAATGGTTCTCAGGCACAGAGTAAGACATTCTCACAGTGTCGAAAAACTCCGAAAAAGTGTGACTATGGCCTAAAAGTTCGTACATGCAACTGGTACACGCAGAGTTCGGTGTTTTAAACTGTTTTTACTATTTTACCTGTGTTTGGTTACCCTGAGACTCTCTCTGAAGAGTCTAGAGACTCTACACCATCTACCGATGCCAGCACCCGCAAACCGCATTTTGAAATTGGACACTCTGACGATAAATGCAGCGGGAAAAAACTTCAAAAAAGTCGGTGAATTAAGTATTGGGCCTATTGGCAGGTTTTCTCAGACCACCAGACAAAGTGTCCACACAGCAGGAGGTTGGCCATCCGCCCTTCCCTTACCAATCCAAAAATTGCCCCTGATGCCCCCACTGACGGAGATGTACACATGCGGTAGCTTGCCAGTGTCCCTAAAGCACATGAAAACCAAAAAACACAGAACGGATAGATTACATCAGCCAAAGGTTTTCTGGAAATCCACTTCCAACAAGCAGAACAGGAACATGAAAAACATTACGAAAAATAAAAATAATTGTAAATAAATGGAAAGCATCATATGAGTTATAGCCGGCAAATCACCTCGATGAGAGATGGACAGAGCACCTGCCCGGTGTACACATGACATTTTTTTAACTTTAAATAAACAGATCATGAGCTCAAACCCTGATGGATTCAATTAATTCAATACCGTGAAGGGCTACCTCCTTAAAAAAGTAAAAGGGGTAAAAAGGGGCGAGGAGGTTGGCGGAGAGGGGGGCGAGTACTATGCGCTCGGTTACCTGCTAAAGCCGAGACGGTATAGACAGCCAGAAACCGGCGTGCTCCTCCAAGTTCTTCAACAACTGGTCCTACTGAGTTCAGTGAATAGCAATTAACCTGTCCATCCATAGATTGGGTTCAGTGCATAGTAATCAATCAACCTGTCTATCGACTGAGCTCAGTGAATAGCAAATAACAAGGCCAACTGAGTTCAGCGAACACTATCGCCGAATAGCAAATAACAAGGCAAACTGAGTTCAGTGAATAGCAATTAACAGGTCCAACTAAGTTCACATGCCCATCCGCCAATGGCAATGCAAATTATCATGCAGTACATAATGATATAGGTTACCAGAGAGGCCTGGGACCACTTGCCGGGCCAGGCTGAGGGGTGGGGGGGGGGGGAAGAATAAAAAATATTAAATTCGTAATTTCGTACTAATTTTGTAGTAATTTTGTAGTAATTTTTCACATTTTATTTTTATTTTTAATCTGGTAAAGAATTTCGATGTGATCCTGAGGCAAAAGTTACTCAAGTTTATTTTTCTGCATATTAAGTATCTTACTATCTTTTGTTTTTTTAACCTTTTTTTTTTTCTTTTTTTTGCAGGGACCTTCCCTGGCCCTTGCCCGGCTCGGCTGCCCAGGCAACCAAGGTGACCTAGGTGGCCCAGTCGGTAGCCCAGATAATGATTGGGG